ACATCAATTACCAGAGAAAATTACCCAACTGGACTACATTATCTTTAGATTTCATAATTATTCATCCTTGTTCCATTTACAGTTAAAGTCAGAATAATTAGTCCACCTTTTATTTATTTATTTTTTTTCTCTCTTTTAAGTATTTCCCAAATAATGTTTAACAGAGCAAGGGAATTTTCACAGTATGTCTGATAATGGTTTTTCCTCTGAAGAAAGTCTTTTTTTTTTCGGCTAGAATAAAAGTAGTTTTGATTTTTTTAAACCACTTTAAGGTCAAAATTATTAGCCCCTTTAAGCTATATATTTTTTCAATAGTCTACAGAACAAACCTTCATTAAACAATGACTTGCCTGATTACACTATCCTGCTTAGTTAACCTAATTAATCTAGTTAAGCCTTTACCTAAAGCTTTATAGAAGTGTCTTGAAAAATATCTAGTCAAATATTATTTACTGTCATCATGGCAAAGATAAAAAATAAGGGGGGGGGGTGGCTAATAATACAGTGGGGCTAATAATTCTGACTCCAACTGTATATGAGTTCTAGATGGGTTTTACAGACAATATTTTATATTTGACATTACTGTATGCAAAGAGTCCATTCACAGCACCACAGCAGACCAATGTCAGGCCTGGATTTGCATTGACAGAAGGTTCTTTACAAGATTTTTGACAAACAGCCCTGATGTGAAGGACAATCTGTAGTCAAATCCAACAATATTTTTAACCAACAATATTTAATGATTTTTAATGATTGTTTATTGAAGTGATGTGTATTTTGTGTGTGTGTGTGTGTGTGTGTGTGTGTGTGTGTGTGTGTGTGTGTGTGTGTGTGTGTGTGTGTGTGTGTGTGTGTGTGTGTGTGTTCTAACGTTGTGTTCATTTAGTATTTGTATGATAAAAGGATTATGTAAACCAATGACCCAGCAAATGCAAGGCTTGTCTAAACAAATGAATCCAGCATGCACAGTTTTAAACAATCCATTAGAAGTTGTCACTGTTTAGAGTTTTGAGTATAGAGTTTTTTTTTAATTATCATCAGGGTTGTAAAATGTGTGACAAAAAAAAAAAAAAAAAACTGTAATAGGTCTTTGACCCCTATCAATTTGTCCTTTATGGTTATTAGTTAAATAAACTGTAAAACCATATAAATTATTACATTTTTGTCACCTTCAACATTCACAAAAAAAAAAAAAAAAATTCAGCTAGTTCAGTCATATATGCTGTATATATTCAGCATGTACGACTGAACTAGCTGAAATAAAAGATTTCTATAGACAGTTTATATACACAAACAAAATAAAACAAGTAAAAGTCAAATTAGAAATAAAAAAACAGAAACCAAATTATTAATACAAATTGCAATACCATCTCAATGAAACTGAAATAGCACTGCGCTTAACATAATGTGTGCCATTTAGCTCATAAACCTACATCTAATTTACTAACCACCTGTGATCAAACTTAACTAGCCTCTATTTATACTGCCATTGTCATTCTTCACAGTGCAAACACGTCTCAGTCGGTGCTATTTGTCTAGTGCAATTATTGTTGCGATATTACCGCCCATGCTAAGCAGGTGGTAAACACACATTTATTGAAAGATGTGTTTGTGTACGTTCTCTGTTGATCATAAGAGCAGCGATTCATCAAAATTATGATCCGATAATGAAAAAGAACTTCATGATGAGACATATATCAATGCATGGTGTAGTTCAGCACATTTTAATGATCCTATTTATCCCTTTCAGAATTTGGTACTTAAAAGCAGCCTGTAAGATGAAGAATTCTGCAATAAAAAATTTTGTGTGCATCGTTTTTTTTTTTTTTTTTGGTCTTTTGCATTATTATATTAAGATCTCCTTTAGTCAATCTTTTGCCAAAAAAAAAAAAAAAAAACAACAACAGACAGAGCATGCAAATAAACAACATAATCCCTACTTAGTGAATCCCCTCTGTGTAAATATCACACACTGTCTGAGTTCAGACACAATTCAGCAGAATTCAATCCATCATTGCTCCGTTGTGGAATTTAGTGAAACTGGTCATGGTAATACATCAGAACATATAAGAACAGGCACATAAAACTTATATAGCAGAAAGGGAGGAAGAGCAGAAGATGCCAAAGTTAGATTAAGTGCTAGTTAACTGAACTCTGCAATTGTATAGAGCACAGTGAACCTGCTGATGCATGAATGGCAGAGATCCAGGGGTCTTGTACCTGTCCTCTTTTTCCTGCAGGATAACAGAAAATGGCCCTGCTCCAAGAACTAACAGCACTAATTTGAGAAAACCACAGCATCATGGCATTATTAGATCATCCTGCTGATCTGCAATCAAATATTTGGATATGAGATAATGCTGACCTCCGAAAGCTGCCTTTGTGTTGAATGCAGACAATTGCAAAACATTAGGCCGCGTGAGCATATAAAGTTGAGGATTGAAGCACAGCTTTATTATAAATTATATATATATATATATATATATATATATATATATATATATATATATATATATATATATATATAAACTTAGGCTTATTTTAAGTTAAATTTTAAGTTAAATTTTAAACTTATTTTAAGTTAAATTGATGACTGGGGATCAGAGTACAAATTAAGATTCACCCAAACTATTTACATACAAATGTGTATATTTTAAACAGCAAGTAAACAAATGCAGGCTATTCATGTCTTTTGTCTTATGCAAACATTATTTGTCTCTTTGGAGGTAGTGGCTCAGAGCAGAATGGTGTCCAGCTTAATGAACGTCATGAACAATGTCTCCCACCCTCTCCAAGGCATGTTTGCAGAAATGAAGAGTGCATACAGCAACAGAGTGATCCCTCTACGGTGTAACAGAGGGTGCCGCTGAAGGTCATTCCTGCCTACTGCCATAAGACTCTACGATTCTTCCGCCGTGTGCATGAAACATTGACTTGTTTTGACTTCTCTGCCTGCAACTGTTAGTCTCCGCAACTGCTTTACATTTGCTCTGTTTACAACATCCAGTGACCTTCAGGTCATGTGTATGATGTATTTTGGTTTATGTTACACTGAAGTTAATGAATCAATCCACTCATTTAACTCAAGTTTCTACCTACACTGAGATCTATAGCCTATGATACTATTTACCAACCCAGTGATCTATCTAATCTGTCCAACCGATCTACAGTACCACTCCAGTATTCTAACTTTTCACCAAGTAACGTATCCAAGTTATCAACCAATCCAGTGACCTAAATTATCCAACCCAATCCACGATCTGTTTATCCTCTACAACAAATCAGCCCATCCATTGATCCATCTAACCCAGGGGTGTCAAACTAGACCGCCCTACACAGTTTAGTTCCAACCCTGCTCCAACACACTTAAGCCGTGGTCACACTGCACTTTTCACCCCATAGATTTTCATTTATACACATGCAAATGCGGAAGACCGAAAACACAAGCTTGTGCAACATGTTTTACTGTCGTTGCATTGCAAAGTTCAAGCTTGGTGAACTCTAACCTGTGAAATTACATTACTTTACTAAATGAGACCAATCGAAGATCAAAACATGACAAAATATGGACTAATCACTTGCTTTTTTAACCCCTTTATCTCGTTTAACCCCACCCCTTTTTGAAGTGCTGTATGACAGAATTTCAAATGCTCAAACGCATTACCTGTCGGTTTTAAACAACCCTGATGGACTTAGTTTGATTAGGTGAGTGTTATTAGGATTGGAACTAAACTCTTCAGAGCTGTGGCCCTCCAGGAATCGAGATTGCAAGTGATCTAACAGTTAGATATATAAGAAGATGTGTGGATAGATCACTTGAAATTTTGACAGATTAGTTGGATTGGTTAGGTCCAGTAACTGGAGAGGCATGTTAAATAGGTCGGTGGATAGATCAATTGGCTAGGTAGATGACTTGATAGGTGTATAGTTTATATAGCTTAGATCACTGAGTGAGTGAGTACTGTAGATAGGTTGAAAAGGTTATGACGTCACCGAATGGGTAGCTGGATATGCTGGATTTGTTAGGTCACTAGATAGATTGGATAGACTAGATGATGATTAGGTGGGTAAATAGGCTTGGTAGATTAAATCAGTGTGTTTCAACCAGCTCTGCTTGTTTTCTTAGTCTCCTTAACCAAACACACCTGATTCAGATCATCAGCTTATTAGCAGAGACTAAAAGACCTGTAAAGGGTGTGACACAAAGGAGACATCCTAAACATGCGATGTTGGAACGTGTTTGAGAAACACTGGATTAAATCACCGGGTGCGTAGGTTAAATCAAAGGGTTGTTAAACTCGATTCCTGGAGGGCCATAGCTCTGCGCAGTTTAGGTCTAACCTTAATTAAACACACCTGATCAAACCAATCAAGTTCTTCGGGCTTGTTTGAAAACTACAGGTTAGTATGTTAAAGCAGGGTAGGAAGTAAACTGCAGTGCTGCCGCCCTCGAAAATGTTTGACACCCTTGATCTAATGTATCTCTCTGCCCATCCAATGATTTCTCTGTCCTACAGAACATAGATACAATAGTGTTATACCTACCCACTATTGTAACCTATCATCCACTATCTGTACATAATTTGCGTATCTACCCTGTGATCCTAGTAACCTATACATTAGCTTACCTTCACTAGGCAATTTATCCATCCATTCATTGATCTTTCTAACCTACAGAACATGTAAATCCACCCATCCACTGATTTTAGCAAGCTAGAACACCACCCACTGTCTTTTACCTATCAGTCTATTAAACCATCAAACCACCCAACCAACATATCTAACTACTGACAATTATCTAATAATCCATCCATCCACCCATCCATCCAATCATCCTATTCTATTCCATCTCATCCATCCATTCATCCATCTTCTCATCCAATTGCTATGTAAATTGTATTAAGAAGGATCATTCACTCAATGATTATTCTCAGTGTCGAAACTTTAGTTAAAGGAGCCCAGTAGAGTGCACAAGCATATTCTGAAAACAGGTGACTTACCTTCCTGCACTGCCTGGAAAGGGTTGTTTCCATCTACAAACTCCACGGACACAGTGATCTTCTCTGTCTCCAGGATTTCATTGTTGAGGTTGAGATCCGCCACTGCCATTCGGAACACCTCATCGTCCTTTTTGGCAGACTCATCAAAAATGGCCCCTGAAAAAGACGATTTGTTAAATGTATCATTTGGTTAACAACTGGACACAATAATAGACACTAAAAATTTACCTAAGCAAATTACAAATTGCTTGATAACGCTGTTTGCTCATTCCAGGCCAATATAAAGATGTCATGTAGTATTTTAGGTAAACATTAACAATACCACACTGCTTTATTTATATTGCTTTAGAGTGTGTGTATCTTGGTAACTAGCAAACACAGTGATAACAACATGCAAACAGAGGATATAAATAAACATAAATACACCTATCAGATTGTCTTTGTTTTAACTCACTCACTTTCCTTTGGCTTATTCCCTGTCTTACAATGGTTCCCACAGTGAAATAAACTGCCAATTACTCTGATATATGTTTTACACAGCGGATGCCCTTCTGGCAGTAACCCAGCACTGGGAGGTCAACCTACAGCTCTGGGAAACGCCCACACATTTTTGTCATTCACACACTATTGCCAATTTAGTTTATCCAATTAACCTATATTACAGGTCTTTGGACTGTTGGGGAAACTGGAGCACCCTGAGGAAACCCACACAAACATGGGCAAAATTTTGTGTTTAACAGACATCTAATAGACATCTAAACATAGAGAGCGTGGTTAAACTTGGGCTGTCCATGAAAATCTAAGAAGACATGAAGACACCTAAGACAGGCTTTAGTTTATACTGTATGTGTAGTCATTCATTTCTGTTTATTTGATGACTAGTCTATTTATTTTAGTCTAGTCTATTAGAGGCATCCTTGTCCAGACGGGACTTGAAACAGAAACTTCCTTCTGTGAGGCATCACTTAGACACCAAGTTCTCCATTTTTAAAAACAACAAATGATAAAACACTATGCACATGCTGTACCAAAAAAAGTTTGAAAAGCCTAGCACAGCACAAATATCATCACGATGTTCAATGTACAATGAGATCCAGACAGCACAGCAGTGCCAAAAATCAATGCTTTATTATTATTACTCTGTCTGGCTTCATTTAGCATCTTACTTTATTAATTTAATCAATTAATCTTAGACAAAGTAAAAGTATATACACATTAGCTTTTAAGTAAAGAGGTATCTGCAGACTGCCAAATATTAGCACTTCAAATATGTTTATAATTAAGCACGCAAGGATATCTACATACAGTATGTGTCAGGTTTCCAAAAGCGCAGGCAGAGAGAAAATATTTCTCTAAGCAATTTCATACTTGTTGGTCTCTACAGGTCTGCCTGCAGAGGAAAACAGTATTTTAGGGCCTAAAATTGAATCTTGTATATCTATGTACAAGGAAATTGAATCTTGTCGACCTGTATACATGAGAGCTACGTCAAAAAATTGTCAACTCTCAGCGGCATGTGGGAAGTAGACTGAAGCAGAGTATTTGCGCAGCATGTGGGGGCAAATTGGTGTTCTTTCAATGAGTGGCACAGGGGAGACACTCAAGATGTGCCCATATCACATTAGAGTCACTGGTCAGTTGTGGACAAGACACTACATGCAGGACCCTGTGCCAACTGTCAGGATTTTAACGAGAGAAATCTACAGAAAAAAAAAAAAAAAACCTCACCCAATCTCTCCAATCCACTGCAAAACATCATAATGGCTCTTTTATCTGAGGACAGAATAGAGTTGCCATAGAAACAAAACTCAAGGTGGAAGCTTCTTTAAAGGCGAATACTTCATCCGTAGTGATGGGGAATGACATAGAGAGGGTATTAAGTCCACGCACATCTGCCTTGATTTGTTTGCAACTTTAACTAAAGCCATCTATTAATCCAGAATAATTTAATTAGATTGGATAGTAACTGAAAATTATGATTAAATAATGATTAATAAAGGTTGTTTTACAGTAATAATACTAATCTAATCTAGAAAGCTCTGTGTATTTAACAAGAAAGAAAGATATTATGCAAATATCACCTTAATTATTTTAAATTCGACCGCAAAGTGGCTAAATGGTTGTCTGTGTGGGTTTCCTCTGGGTGCTCCAGTTTCCCCAACAGTCCAAAGACTGTTTAGAGCAAAGGTTGCCAAACTTTTCAGCCCCTTAAATAACAATGCTATTGACTCGTGACCCCCAAATTCCTCAGAGGTGTTGATAAATATACAAAGGTTGCACACAGAACAATAGGCCTATGTAAACACAAGCATATTGACAACACAAAAAGTGCAACAGTCTAACAACCATATTATTTATGGTCATTTAATCATTTCTTGGATTTAATATTAACCTCAACTAAAGGGACTGGTGGACAATGTTTTCAGCACAAGTATATTCTTGGTTTAATTTTGGTGACCGCCAGTCAGAGATCATTCATAATATTAAGTTGTGGGCTGTATTTATTTTTAATGTATTTGATTGCTATGAAGGGTGTCAAAGTTTAACCTGGTGCTATAAAATTATTCTGCTGCAGCTGATCCCATTGCTGCTGTGTTAATCTAATGTGAACACACCAATCCTATTAAAAAAATAATAATAATTTAAAGGCTGAAGTTTTGTAATTTGCATTTTGTTGTTTTTTACTATTAAAAACTATAATTTTTATGGTGAAAATATGTGGTAATTCTAATATGCTCAATATGTTCCAGAGGGTCCCGGCCCCCACTTTGGGAACCACTGGTTTAAGGGATTTGGACAAACTAAATTGGTCATAGTGTTTGAATAGGAGAGTGAGTGGGTGTTTCCCAGCTTTGAGGGTTGCACTCTGGGTTGCGGCTAAAGGGCATTCATTGTATAAAACATATGCCCAAGTTATTGGCAGCACATTCAGCTGTGGCGACCCCTGACAAGGCAGATAATAAGTCAAATAAAGTCAGTCAGAGAGGGATTATTTAAAGTTACATTATTTAAAGTGGCATAATTTGATAGATTATAAATCATTTATAGAGGGCTTAAGTACAAAGCACATATGTTTATATGTTTAGTCTGTCATGCATTTGTTGATCCTTCCCCTTATTTATTTCCTCCTCTTATTATTGGACAGTTTAAGTTATTACGAAAGGGGACCTTTGGCCTAAAATAAAATTGAAAGTAAGAAAGACTGGAGGTTTATGAACGGAAATGTATGTTTATTTTGCAAGAGCATCTAGCAAGACTTTAACACTTAAATGAGACCCGATTATTAAATTATTCACTCTTAGTTTAGTCAATTATGTGCCTGACTGATTCTGAAGGTTACGGTTATTACGGATACCACAGTAAGATTTTATGCACATACAAACACACAACAAAATCCAAAATATTCTCTGAAAACAAGGCTATGCTACCGTATGTGCTTCTTGTTTGTCAAATAAAATTACTTAAAACACTTAAATATTATTTTACAGTAGTAAAAGTTTGCATAACGAATGATTGATTTATCCGCCAGTGACCCATCCAAAAGTAAATATGCAGCTTGTTTTTTTATTACCTGACCTGCAGATTAAAAGCAGCACCAGCGGATAAAACTGAGAAATTATGTGCTCCTATTGTACAGTGTCACCCATGACACTAAACTTGTCGTGAAGATCTGGGAAAAAATAAAATAAACATGCTAGACTTTCTGTAATGGTGTCGTGAGGAGTCACAGACATGGTATCGGTTGTTGTGAACTATACCACATTACACAAGAAGAAATAATTTAATCTTGTGTCACAATGCCCGCGACACCCTACGTCAAGGAAATTGTGCCAAAATTGTGACATGGTTGTGTGATCTAAACAGGGCTTTAGTCAAGCAAAGATAGCTTGTTGTAAGGATGTTTACATATTTGAATGAAAAACAAAAGTAATATGAAGAAAATAATTTTTACTCAGAACTCAGCACCTTGCTACCATGTTTCATTTTGGTAATAAATAAATAAATAAATAAAGCCAAACAATAAAGACAGACGGCTCAACTTGAAAATACATTAAAGAAATCAAAATGTTGAAAGGACGCAGATGCTCGTTCAAACTGCGGCAAAGACTTCCTCAAGCACTTAGGTAGTGGGATTGAGAACAAAATGTAATTCAACAATAAAGTGCTCAAGAGCCTGTGGCAAGTCCTCATAAGCAGCACTGGCCAGATTAATATCCTGCAGCCACTCTCAAGAGGAATAAAGCAACAGGAATCAAATTCTTGCCTGTCTTAATCAGTCCCACTCACTATGCCTTTGGGGTTTCTCTTCTTGGGATGAGGAAGAGACTGTTAGTGTACGCGAGTATGAGAGGGTAGTTGCGGATTCTGATTTACAAGCTGCTGGATTGCAGCTCTAAACAGACAGAGAGGCTGCGGCTCTCTGGCAATTGAGTTGCTGGGCAAAAGACAACTTCAAGAAATAAATCAAAGCAATAGCATTGAGTCTGGCTCAAGACATACCAAGGGCAAGTGGATTCATACAGTACAGTCATGGAGTCCTTTGTCACTTTAACAACATTGGGTCACAATAACATGCGTGCGTGCAGATGGTGGGCCAACTTTGATTAGCTTTCTCCTGAGGCGAGACTTGTGATAAAATCTTAAATCTCTTGGATTAAATTCGAAGCAGTGTCAAGAAATGGCAGCTAATCATATAGACTTCCTTCAGCTTTGGCTACACAGACTAATAATAGGACAAGGGCACTAACTGATAAGGCAACAAATAGCAGTTAGCTGTTCCTGCAGGGTTCTTATACCTTTCCCAAAGTCAAATGTAAGCATTTTCAACCACTTTCCAGGTACATTTACAGCATTTCAAATCAAATTAAATATTTACACACATATACGTACTTTATGAAAATATACAATAAGACCTTTGTTATAGAATTCTATAGTATAGTGCTTCAATGGATTTTTGATGGTATGTTTGCCCAAAGCCCATAATTGAATTGGCATGGTTTACTATTTTAAATGTCACTTAGCCACATCTTATATGTATTTTATTTTAATTTCATGCATTGTTTACTCATGAAGTGGTAATCTCCATTCATTTGTGTCTTTTCCAACTGCTTAATACAGAAAATACAGCAAGATCATGTTACAGACGCATCTCCAGT